GTACCAAGTCTTTATATCAAAGTAATTGCCTCGGTGGTGACATGCCCCAGAAGAACTGCCCATCGTTATCAAGAAGCACGCCTAGGCGCCGCCGAAACTCGGGCTGCCATTGAAATGGACAGGGACTGGTTTGCGATAGCAACCATCCAGGTCTCGATGCCGAATGTGAACACGAATAGCCGCGTGATCCGATAGCTCTTTGGTCTGCATCTCTTCGGGCGTGGAGACCACCGACACGGAGTGCTGGAGTTGGCATGACATCCAGTTCGGTTCGGAGAGCCAGAACCGATCGGTCTGCGACACGGCCTTCGCGCACTGGCAGTAGTGAGTCGGGTCCTCCGACGCTACCTCCAACATCTGATCAAACACCGAAGACCAAAGCCTGGCATGAGAGCGAGCGTCATTCGTGACGTTGCGTGACTTTGCTGATGTCGGTTGCGCCAGGTGGAGCGCGTCATGCGCCGCAAAGTTGAGGTCGCCGCATGCAGCAACTAGCCTGGAGCTATGATCGAGATGCCCAATGCATGTCAGCCTGAATAGCTCTGACCACCTTCTGAACTTCAGCCACAGAGAGACCATGATTGTGAATGTTGCAATGACGAATCTCAGCGCACGCGCCCACCAAAATTGCACGCAGGACTCTGCCCCTGACAAGCGGCGTGGACGACAGGCACGCGATGAAGCCAACGAAAGCGGCACAATCGTGTCAACACCGCCTCGGCCACGGCCTGACTCATCATCCCCATCCTTGACATATTCAAAAGGGCCAAAGACCGTAGCAGCTGGCGCGACTCTGCGCATGTAATGCTCCAGCTCACCCTGGGTCTGGTGTACCTCTTGTACGGCGACGATGGAGGACTTGATGTCAATCATGTCGAGGTAGGAGGCCTTACTCATCGATCGTGCGCCACGGAACTGCAGCAACGCCCGAGCGTTCGACGACGCGAACGTGTGCTCCTGACAACGCGGCGCCAGGCCGCCTTCCACCTTGTGGTAGAAGATGTCGTCGTACTTGCTAAAGAGACCACTCTGGCTCCGCGTTGGGCTTGAGGATGGGGCCAATCGAGTTGTTGATACTAGCGCGCGTCCAGCCCCGAGAGGTGAGCGCGGCATCATGAAAGTGGCAAAGCGTGGGGTCGCGGCCAGGCTGGGGTACAAGTCGCAGCGCAGGATTCCAGTTCTCAGATAACCATCCATTCTGTCGGTCGAAGAAGAACTTGCACTGCGGGTGCATCTCCCGGAGCACGCTCGTAACCTTCTTGCCAGCGATCTCAAGCTTGATCTGGTACGGCGACTTGTCTGGCCCGATGCGCAGTTGCGCTGAGCCGCCAGAGGCAGCAGGCACAGGGAATCGCATCCATTGGCCCTTGCCGGGGCGAAGCGCAGCCAGGGCCTGGGAGACGCGCTTGCAGGCGAGGCCGACGGCGCCTGTGAACTGAATGACAAAAACTCGGTCCTGTTCATCTCCTTCAATCTTAAAGCCCTCGATCTTCGCGTCTGAGAGCCATTTCTCAACTGAGGTGACCACGTCCTTCCTACAAACCATCGCAGGCGCAACGGCTTTGAGGATGGTGCCATCAACGTTGCGCTGGAAGCCAATGCTGGCGGGCTTGGGAGGCTGCGGGACTTTGTTGGCCATGGCGAGCTCCTTACGCATTTCCTCCAACGAGCAGTGCATGTCGGCAAACTGCCTGGCGAGGGTCTCGGTGTGAGCGTCCACATCGTCGATCTTGGAAGCCACGGTGTCCAACTGACGCTGGATGCGCTGCTCGAGATCGTTGAGTTCCGATCGCCACTGAGCCTCCACGCCGTTCTTGCAGTTCCCAGGGACAGCCTTGATCGCGTTCTCGAGTTTGTGGACGGCAGCCATTACTGGGTCCACAGCCTTGCCTGCGGCGTCGGCCGCGGAGGCAGCCGCAATAGAGGCCAGGTCGTCCTCGAGGGTCTTGAACTCCTGCGGGAGGCGCTTGCCGAGCTGCTCTGCAATGAGACCATTGATGTGGGCGCTCCAGTCATCATCGGCCATGTCGTATGCCTCATCCTCAGCGTCGGAGACGTGGCGGCTCGACCTCGATCGATCATCTTCCACCCGACTGCCAGCAGGAACAGAATCATCAGCACCACCCCGCACAGCTGCAGGGCGCCCCGCTGCAAGAGGTTTCTTCTTGCGCTTGGGAGCTGCGCCATTTGGGGGCATGCGCGGGCCGCGCGCGCCGAGGCTTGACGCGATCGGGCCGACAGGAACGGGAAAGGCCTCCGCTTACCCACCGACCCAAGCGCAGGGAAGGTGGACGAAAGAAGGTGCCAGACTTCAAGAAGTCTTGCCAGCCGCGGACTAGCGGTATCCGCTTGGTTCCCAGGGGAAACCTGCATCTTGAGCCAAAATGGCTACGGAAGGAGGAGGAGGAGGAGGAGGAGGAGGAGGAGGAGGAGGAGGAGGAGGAGGAGGAGGAGGAGGGAGGAGGAGGAGGAGGGAGGAGGGAGGAGGGAGGAGGAGGGAGGAGAAGCAGGGCGAGCCGGGGCCAGCCGTGGGAGCCAGAATGCCTGCAGCACGGCTGCCAGCGTTGGCCCAACGGCCGGCCGGCGCCCAGCACGGGCCGAGGGCAGGGAGGGGGCCCTGCGTGTGCTGGGCAGAGGGCCGGCAAGCTGCAGGCAACAGCCTGCGACGGGAACGGAACGGGCTTCCGCGCGGAAGGAAAACCAGCGTCAGGTCGGGCACGTCCTCCACAGGCTGACTGTGGACGAAGAGTGAGGAAGTCACAGAAGAATGCCCAGACTGATTTTTTGACCATTGTTGAATATCCCTTCCATAGACGGACGTGCCCGACTTCACGCCAGCGTGGCCTGACAGAGGGCCAGCCGGGTGCTGCGTCGAGCACAGGCGCGGGCGCCGCACAGGGCCAGAAGAAGGCCAGCAAGGACTGCCCAGGGCCCAGGGGCCAGTCAGAGGACCATCCAGGCGCTCTATCTGAAAGACTAATTATCCATGGAGTTAAGGAGGGCGAGGGTGGCTGGTCTCAAAAACCTGGCGGGTGGTCCAGTCGGGGCCAGAGACGGGCGTTGGCGTCGGCCAGCCAAGACAGGCTGCCTGGGGCTGGTGCACTGGGACCAGACATCCTGGAACAGCATATGAACCACTCCAACGAGTACGGTCCTCTCCCCCTTTCCTAGGTGCTCCAATAAGTAAGCGCTACAAGTATTTCAACAGGTGAGCCCCAGCTTTGACAAGGTAGCGGACGGCTTCAAAAGACTGATACGACTGCGGATATTAGAACCGTTTCAGAAATCGTACGTACCCAGAGCGCCGATGCACCGCAATTCCCGAGCGCGCCTGAGCGCTCCTGAGGTGTCTCGCGAGAGCCTCTTGAAGTTCCCCCTTTTTTCCTCCTCCTCCCTCTCCTCCTCATCCTCTGCCTCCACCTCCTCCTCCTCCTCCTCCTCCTCTTCCACCGCCCGCCCCATGTCCCGCGCCTGTGGCAGGGTCATCAGCTCGTCGTTGTCGTTGTCATGGTCGTCGTCGTGGTCGTCGTTGTCCTTCTGGGTCGGCGGCACCTGCCGTAAGGCCTTCGCAGTCAAACTTGAAAAGAACAGATGGCCTCAGAACGCCCGCCGGGCCAGGTAGCCAAGACCCTTGACGCCAGGGACGACCCCAGGACCCTCCAGGAGACTTCCTGGAGACCCCCACCAACAGGCCCCAGGACTACGGCCCCCAAGAGGCTCCATGCACGTCGACGGGATGGGCCACGGGCCACTTGATATCCTCTGACACATTCGAGCCATCTGGCCTGGAAGGGCAATGGCTGAACTTCATGCGGGCAAGGACAAGAAACATAAGAGGAGACAGAAGGGCGTCTGCCAACATGGCTACGGGACGGAAGAACAAGGATACGGGGGGGGGAAGAGAAGCGGGAGCGAGGGACGATGGAAAAGGCGAAGAGGAGGGAGAACGAACGAACGACGCGTGGAGACGTCCCGCTGGGGCAGGGCCGATACCGGCCTGCAAGGAGGCAGGGGGGAATAAGGAAGGGTATAAAGAGAATGATGTCGAAGAGCTTGAGTCAGTGTGGCTGCAGCCAGGATGATTTCAGGAGGGGAGAAGGCGACGCTGGAGAGGAAGAGACATCGGCACCAGCAGAGCAGGAACACTAGCGAGAGAAAGCGCAAGAGGAAGAGGGAGTGCACGAGGCGTAGGAACAGGAAGAGGAATAGGATTGAGACGAGGACAAGGAAAAGGCGGCTCGACACTGTAATTGCAAATCGCTGCGCCGAGAAACAAGCGCGACCTGATCCCTCGGCTCTTCACATGTTGGCCCGAGCCTCCAGAAACCGTGCCGCGAGGGGCCGAAGATGCGCGGCAGAGCCAACACACACCCGCCGGGACATGTTCGCGGCGGAGAGACGCTGAGAAGGGGGAGGGTCGTCAATGCATACAGCAGGAACTCGACCACAAGAAACCTTCCACAGGAAAACCCAACCCTGAGACCCCAGGGCGTCCACTAATTTTTGCTGTGGGAGCACCACGCTCTCTCCATAGCAAGACCATCGAAAACAACAAGAAACCGAAGGCACCCTGCAGGCCAGCAGGGTCTCTCTTGGCATGGGTGCTCACTGTACTGGGCACAAGTCCCGAGCAGCACGACCACGACGACGCCGACAAACGACGACGAGGCGCGCAGACGATCCGCACAGAGGCACGGAGTGGGCAAAAGGGCCACCCCTGCAGGTTGGGTTGAACGGCACATCGGTGAGCGGTGCTGCAGCCTTCCCTGAGGAGAAGGGGGGGCGTGAGCTCGACCACCCCCCAAACATCCGACGTCATGCTTTTCTCAATACGGGGTCCCTTGAAGTCCCGACCCTTTCACTCTTTCCCCAAGACCGGTCTTCCATCCTGAGTGGCTTTGTGGAAGGTCCCGAGGCCCGGCCAAAGCCCCCAGAGGCCAAAATTGGCCAGAAACCTCCCGTCCGAATTTCTAAACGACGCGATCAAATGTGGGCCTGTCCTTGATGTCCGTGAACTGCTTCTTGGCGGACGCCACGGACGCGGTTACCGCCCTGTCCACGGCCTGCGCGAGAGCCTTGATCAGCTCCTGCCAGGACCGCCCGCCCACGCTAAGGGCAGGATAGGAGGGCAGGAGAGAAGGGGGAGGGAGGAGGAGGAGGAGGAGCAGGAGGCGGAGGAGGAGGAGGAGGAGGAGGGGGAGGCGGAGGACGGGGAGGAGAAGACGAATTCTCGAAGTTCCTCGGTGGTCTAATGAGGCCGTCGGAAGCGTCCTGTGGATGTTCGGAAGGCTTCGGAGGTGTTCGGCAGTTTCCAGCCGCATTCATCGGGAAAGGCGGTGGAGGTTTAGACCTGACTAGGAGAGCTTGCACACGCAACCTCGACGAGAAACCCATGCCATGAGATCCTGGAAACTCGATGGGCTCAGGCATATCGCTCCTGCACGAATCTAGAAAACGCAGGGCCATGGCCGAATCCGTCGCCGTACAACATGGCACGTTGAGGCTTGATGCAACGCGCAAATTCTACATGGTAGGGTTCTTCAGAAGACATAGGAAAGAAGGAGCTGACCATGTTATCCGATAAGGGGAATCATGTCTAGCTTTGGTGCGGAACTGGACGACAATGACGATGTTCGGGCACTGCACGGAGATACCACATACCCCGTATAATGTTTCCACGCAAACGAACGCGCGCGAATCGTCCGCTCACGGAATGGCTTGAACCGTGATGACACAACTGTGGACATCCAGCCTAGCAGTGACCTAGCGACGCCAGGGCACAGCAGTGGCGGCAATGATGCAGCGATTTCGTCTGAAGTCTTGGGCTTACCAATTTTGCGTTGCCAGAGCCTTTTCGGCTCAAGGTGGTTCCAGAAGTTGAGCAGGGACCGACCGTCCCAGCATTCCTATAGTCCCACCACGAAATGTTCTTAGAACCCCAAGATGTTCTAAGAACAAACACAATGTTGTTAGAGCATGAATCCGATGTGACAAAACAAGACAATCTCCGCCAGAAATGTTCTAAGAACAATCCGGCAACCAAAAAACACAAAATGTTCTTAGAACATTGTTTGGTAGGGCTATAGGCGAGCCAGGACGCTTCGCCACTGATTGAAGAAGGCTTCGGAGGAATCAAAGGAGAGGCAACGGAGCAGCACGAGAGCCCCAAGGCGTCCGCCAGACGGCCCAGGGTGGCGCGCCAAAGAGGGCCTCAGGGCGGCCCACGACGAAGGCAGGAGACGGCCCAGGATAGCGCGTTTTGAGGGCCTCCAGACAGCCAACGGCGACACCAGGACGGCCCAAAGGGGCTCCAAGAGGGCACAAGAACCTCGACTCGGAACCTAGAGCTTCGCCCTCTCAAGCTTCGACCAACTGCACTGGAAATGAAGACAGTAGCAGCCGACGTAAGAACGTCGAGACAGTCAGCACGCGTCGAATATCAGCCTGAAGCCAGAAGATCAGGGATGGAGCAGGAGGCACTTTGCATGCCAAACACACGTGAAAGCTGCTAGAACACGAGAACCCAAAGTTGATCCACACTCGGTTAGCAATTGGTGCGCGTGCAAGTCACCAGATGTTGCCGCGTGCCGCACATCTGAATCGCACTCGGTCCACATAGTACTACACGGCAACCGAACAAGCTTACCATCATGGTCCAACGCCACGGTAACGGCGGTGTTCGCTAACGGCGATGTTGGGAATATGGCGTTTGCGACGCGGGAAATCACGAACAATCCTTTCCTACAGTTGAAAAAAAAGAAACGCGAAGGTATCGGGCGAAAAAGGCACGGCAAATTGTAGGAATACTCGGGCAACGCGTTCCAATAATTGGGTTGGCCACGAACCACACCAACCTACAATACCGAAACATACCTTGCCGTTAGCGGCATCGCCGTTAGCGTGTCTACAAATGTTGCAGCGGCAATCGCATTTGCATATGAAAAATGTTCCCCAAACGAACCACACCTCCATGACTCTGCATCGTTCGCATCCGCGTCGCCATTGGCCGACAAGCATCCGCATCGAACTCACGTTTGACTCATCATTTGACTGAAATATGCACCACGTGAGAACACGAGACTGTTCAACATGCGTGCACAGCGATCGAACAACAACTTCGCAACAACAGTTGGCCAATATATTTGACATACGTCGCATTAGAGTCACATTGAACGCACATCACCCGCATGCATGGATAGACCCCAAATGACTACCAAACGACATGAATGTCACATCTGCCTCGCGTTCGATTCGCGTTCGGATTCGCGCTCGCACCCCTGCTCCTCTGGTCCACCTCCAACTCCTCGTCCTTCTCCCCGTCGTCGTCGTCCTCCTCCTCCCTATCCTAGAAACTCAGTCACAACGGATCCTAGGTGCAAGCAACAATACAAACAAAACGTCCAAAGATATAAACCAGACGGCAAGAGACTGACCAGAAAAGGATGTCCCATCAACCGGTTTGACACTCTCCTCCTCACCCCCTCGACCTCCTCATCGCACACAAACGGTTCTTGTCCCTTCAGTACTGCTCGGCCTCCGCTTCCTCCTCCTCCTCCTCCTCCTCCTCCTCCTCCTCCTCCTCCTCCTCCTCCTCCTCCTCCTCCTCTCCCCCTCCTCCTCCTCCTCCTCCTCCTCCTCCTCCTCCGCAGTTGTGCTTGCGCTTGCTCGTGTGGTGCTGCGAGACCGCAGGCCAGTGCTCACAAAGGGAGCTCCCACGGGGACTCGCCCGAAGTACCGTTCGCTGCCCGAAGCTACGGTGCTACAAAAACTACGCATCACAGATTCCCGTGCTGAACTCCTGGTCCGACGGTTGCGTCAGTGGAAGAGGTATGCGTCTCACCCCGATGACAATCGAAAACCACTCGTTGCCATTTTTGGGACTCTAGAGGGCCTCAGCGAAGACTCGGCGTTCCTGGAGGATGGATCCGTGAGCCCGCCAGCTAACCCTTGGGCTCGACAAGTTCAAATGGGTCTGGAGGCCCTTCATCATCTAGAGGGAGGCTCGGCGTTCCTGGAAGCCTACTCTGTTCGCGACATCGTCCGAAATGATACCGCTGCTCGGGTCTTCTCTGGGTTCAGCACTGACAAGCTCCGCAAGGTCCCCACCCTCCGAGGTCCCCCACGAGCGCCTCCACCACATGTTCCTGATGCTGATCCCCAAGAGGTCCATGTATGTGAGCTTCCTGGTCCAGGTACCGACGATGTGTGTGGGCAGGTCTTTCACAGTGCGGGGGCCCTACGGGCTCATCAATGCCACCACCCCTCCCACAACAGCGGGTACCCGCACGTATGTTGGTTGTGACGGGTCAATGTCCTCACTGCATGTCGGGTTTCAAAAGTGTGGCGACGGCAACACGACACGTGGTGCAATCGCTACGGAAGGGGCCGCTGTATCTGCGACGGGAGTCCTTATGCGCCAGAGCCGATCACCCCACCCGACCTTCACAGCCCAATCTGCGTGGACCCAGAGACTGCGCTCCAGGACGTCACCACGTGCATGCCACCTGGCTCGAGGCGCCTGGCGCCCTTCCACGCGCTGGAGGAGCTGCAGGGGCACCTCGGGGACCCTCACGCCCCAGCTGCGCCCGACCTCGCCTGCTGCGATGGACTGGGCCCTCCGCGTCGAGGCAGGCGAGCGCGGCGGGGCCCTCCGCTCTCGGAGCGGCGAGCGCGGCGCTCCGCGCAGGGCCCGCCCGGGCGGAGCGCCCATCCCGCGGGCCCGCCGCGGGCCCATCCCGCGGGCCCGCGGGCCCGCGGAGGGCCCCTCCCGCAGGGCCCGCCGGGCGGCGGGGGCCGAGAGCGACCCCACGCCCGCGGCGGCGGCCGCGGCCGCGGCGGCGCCAGGAGGCCCCCCGGGGCAGCAGCGGCAGCAGCAGCAGCGACAGCAAGCGCAGCAAGGAGCCGCTCACCCTCTGGCCCAAGTCTTCGACATGGCGGGCAGCACGTGCGGCCTGCAGCGGCGGGAATCCACGCAGCTCCATAACCAGCAGATGTCCATCGAGCTGATCCAAGCGCTGCTATGCGGGCGACTCTCAGGAACATGCAGGGCATCGCGGCGCTCGAGTGCGCAGTGTTCATGCCTGCGCTTATTTAGGCGTCACTTTGAGGTTAAGCCAAGCCATTCAGTTGACAAGCGAATCTTTCGTACAAGAGGTCACCCGCCTGCGGCGAGATCACAGAGACGAGATCCGTGCAAGCAACCCAATGAAGGCGCTGGAGAAGCTGGGGATCCCGCACCCCCATCTGTGGCTCGCGCTCGTGGGTGTCCTCCAGCAGCAAGGCGACCCAATGGGATCTCAAAATGCAGCGGCCATCACGGCCTAAGTGGGTCGTGGTCAGGGGGTTCCGATGCTCACGAACTCCTCGCTCGCACAGCAAGTCAAGTACGGCCGAGTGTCCTACACGCACGGCAAGAGCGCGATGACGATACCCATCGAGACCAAGGAGACGGGGATCCAGTCGGAGGTGCTGGCTGCGCCCGTGCAGCTGGGAGCAAAGATCATGAAAGGCACCCCGCCGAAGTCGCAAAACAAGAGAGGCTCCTGCAGCTCGCGCTGGACGGCCTCGGTGCGCAACCGCCTCCAGCAAGGCGAGGCAGGCTGCACCGTCCCGAGCTGGCAAGGCTCCGTCCTTCCCCTCTCCTCCTCCTCCTCTCCCTGCCTCGTCGTCTGATGCCTCGTCTCGCCGTCCCCGCGTGACCTCCTCCTCGTCTTTCGACGCAACGGTCTACCGACTCACCCATGGGTCCCAGAATGCCGACACCAACAATCTCGCAGGTCCTCGCCCAGGGAACCCGTAAGTTCAATGGCCTCGTGTTTCAGGACAAAGTCGCTGCCTCTATGAATCCCGTGTTGTTGGCTTGCCTGCGGCTCGACAGAATGGATCGTGGCCGCCGTCCATTTTTGTCAGGGCCAGGGGGTGCGGCCTCGCCCCACGGATATCTCCGTGCTGGGCTCGCGAGGCACATTGGGAGCCCCCCCCCCCACCGTGCGAATGCCCCGCTACAGATAACGCACTCGTGGTCCGTGTGCTGTGCCGCTGCTCTCTCTCTCTCTCTCTCGAGCTTCACACATGCAGGCACGTGAATCGGTCGAGCACCGCCGCCGCCGCCCCCACTCCTGCACCGAATCTTCCTCCTCCTCCTCCTCCTCCGCCCCCTCCTGTTCCTCCGCCTCCTCACCCTCCTCCTTCTCCTCCTCCTGATCCTCCTCTTCCTCCTCCCCCTCCTCCTCCTCCTCCTCCTCCTCAGCATCAGCATCGTCAGCATCATCAGCAGCAGCATCATCCTTATCCTGCTCCTCCTCCCCGCATCATCACCAACAAGCTACTCAGCATCAACATCATCATCATCATCATCATCATCATCATCATCATCATCATCATCATCATCATCATAATCATCATAATCATCATCATCATCATCATCATCATCATCATCATCATCATCATCATCATCATCATCATCAACAGCATCATCATAACCATCAACATCAACATCATCATCAACGCCATCATCAGCATCATCATCATCATCATCAGCAGCAGCAGCAGCATCAACATCAACATCAGCAGCAGCATCGCCATCACCCACACATTATCAGCAACCTTATCATCACCATAAGCAGCATCAGCTGCAGCATCCACGTCATCACTATTATCATCATCATCATCATCATCATCATCATCATCATCATCATCATCATCATCATCATCATCATCATAACCAGTCTCATCATCAGCAACACCAGCAGCATCAGCATCGACATCAACATCATCATCAGCATCATCAACATCATCCTCATCATCGCCAACACTATCGTCATCATCGGCATCATCATCAACCACATCAGCATCCTCACCCGCATCCGCACCGTCACCCTCACCCCATCAGCATCGTCACCATAATCATCATCATCATCATCATCATCATCAGCATCATCATCATCAGCATCATCACCTGCACCATCATATGATCATCAACAACATCATCATCAGCAGCAGCATCATCAACATAAACATCAGCAGCAACATCAATATCACCCACACACATCATCAGCAACAGCATCATCACCATACGCAGCAACAGCTGCATCATCCACGTCATCATCATCATCATCATCATCATCATCCTCAGCATCATCAGCATCGACACTTACATCAACGTCAGCATCATCAACACAATCATCATCATCATCACCAACACCATCGTCATCATCGGCATCATCATCAGCCACATCAGCATCCTCACCCGCACCCGCACCGTCACCCTCACCAGCATCGTCACCATCATCATCACCAGCATCATCATCACCTACACCAGCATACGCTCATCATACGATCCTCATAATCATCATCATCACCATCATCACCATCATCAACATCACCATCATAACCATCATCATCACAAGCATCATCATCATCATCATCATCACCACCATCATCATCAGCATCATCATCATCATCATCATCATCATCATCAGCATCATCATCATCATCATCATCGTCATCACCAGCATCACAAGTCTCATCATCAACAACCTCAGCATCCTCATCCTCATCCTCATCCGACCCTTCCTGGTTCTCCTCCTGCTGCTCCTCCTCCTTCTTCTTTTCCTGCTGCTTCTCTTCCTCCTCCTCCTCCTCCCTCTTTTCCTCCTCTCTTCCTCCTCCTCCTCCTCATCATCATGTTCCTCTTGCTTTCCCCCTCCTCCGCCTCCTCCGCCGCCTCCTCCGCCTCCTCCTCCTCCTCCTCCTCCTGACCAGACCCTTCCCACTCATCCACTCTCTCCCTGCTTTGCCGACGAGAGACGCGCTCGCCTGAGCCGCCTTCTGGGAGGACTGCACCAACTCCAGGACCGACTGGTCGGAGGACTCCTGGGCATCTCCGTCCCCGCCGCCGGAGCGAGGTCGCGTCGAAACCGTGGTGCCCCTCCTGCTGTTGCTCCGCGCAGTGCAAGAAAACACGACGCAAGGTGTTTGCCCATTCTTGGGCCTCCAGGGGCCCCGGCCGGGCCCCGGGACCATCAAGAACGGCCCCGGACTCCTCCTCCTCCTCCTCCTCCTCCTCCTCCTCCTCCTCCGAAACTGGTCCCGGGGAGGGGGTCCAGAACTACATGGGGTCCACGTGGTGAGAACAAATCACGGCCTCGGGAGTTCTGGAGGGGCGTGCGGGGCTGGGCACGGCCGGGCGGCCGACCGCCGACAGAAACAGCTTGCCTCGGCCACAGGAGGAGGAGGAGGAGGAGGAGGAGGAGGAGGAGGAGGAGGAGGAGGAGGAGGAATGGAATCAATGATTGAGCTTGCCTCGGCCACAGGAGGAGCAGGAGGAGGAGGAGGAGGAGGAGGAGGAGGAGGAGGAGGAGGAGGAGGAGGAGAAGCGGTGGCTCCTCCGGGTCCTCGTGCTGCTGGTCGTCACCCTCGTGCTGCTGCCCCTGCCGCTCCCGCTCCTCGTCCTCTGCCTGGCCCTCCAGCAGCTCAGCGACGACGTGGCGGAGGCGGCGTGCGGGGGGCCAGGATGGAGGAGGAGGAGGAGGAGGAGGAGGAGGAGGAGGAGGAGGAAACAAGGAGAGGAGGAGGAGGAGGAGCTGCCTCCTCCTCGGGAGGGAGGGTCCATCGTCCGCAGCTCGTCGGGGGGCTTGTGCGGGCCCAGCCCAACCCAGCCTTTCTTGACCCAACCGTCAGAGGCTCCGATATCCATGGTGCTGAGGATTCTCCGCGCCGTCAGAGGCTTCGGTACCAGCGGTGCTGAGGTTTCCAGAGGAGCCTGAAACTCGGGTGGCTTCGAGTGGCGTGTTCATGGATGAAGGGGCCCTGGGACACATAAATAAATACGCACACACACACATAACAGGATTCCCCCATTTTTTTTTTTTTTTTGAATTCTGGGTTTCCGTCGCCCCCCCCACTTCCCATATGTTCCATTCTTTTCCTGGAGATCGACGATGAATTGCGTCTGTTCTGAAAAGGCTGCGGCACTCCCCCCGCCGGCACTCGCAGCGGCACTCGCATGTCGTGAACTTTCGAGGCCGGCTAATCGGAACAGAAGCATCCTTCTCGTCCCTTCCCCACTCCTCACTCCTCTACTCCTCCCTGCCGACTCAACCCTCCAATCCTCCAGGGATGTTGTGGACCCGCCCCACGGAGAACCCGTGCTTCAGGCAGTCCAAATCACGCTGTCCGCCTCCTATCAATGTTCAACTTCCCCCCAATCCAACTTCAACTTCTCCGTATACATAACTTCTCCCTGTCGCACCCCGAATCCAGTTTTTAGCGCGGGTCGGGCGTTTTGCCTGAGACTTCCTCACCATGTATACCCAGAGAGTAAACTTGGCAACAGCTTCATAGACGGGCTGGTTTTCAAAATGTGGCCCTCGCCTTAGCGCCGCGCGCATTTGTTTGAAACATCTGCAAGAACTTCACGGATTGAGGGCGGTTTCTTTTCAAAATTTGGCTCTCGGCTTTACGCCGCGCAACTTATTGTTAGACATTTGCCAAACTTTCACGGATTGAAGGCGATCCATTTTTAACATGTGGCTCTCGCCGTAGCGCCGCGCACTTGACACACTTGCAAGAGTTTCACGGATTGAGGGCGGTTCCTTTTCAAAATGTGGCTCTCGTTTTAACGCCGCACACATTCGTGTCAACATCTGCAAGAGCTTCGCGGACTGAGGGCGGTTCCTTTTCCAAATGTGGCTCTCGCCTTAGCGCCGCGCACACTCGCTGAAACAATGTGTAAGGGTTTCACGGATTCCCATGATCAGCGTACCAGGCATGGTCTTTTGGAAGGCTTCGGGATTCGGAGGGTGCAACAGTTACGTTGAGTCGCGTTGTTGACGTCCCAAGAATGGCGTTCTGGCACGATTCAGCATTGTCAAGACGCAACAGTCAGGTTGATCCTTTGCGATGGAGTCCCGAGAACGATGTGTTGGCATGTTTCAGGGTCTTCAAACGGTTCTCTTCCAACGAGGCAGTTCCCCCAATGGAAATGAACCCTTGTAAGGGGCCTATGAATAAGGAGCTTGGAGGGAGGGTTTATGCCAACTTCGTTGACGACCCTTCAATTTACACTGGTCCTCCTCCTCCTGATCCTCCTCCTCCTCCTCCTCATCCTCGTCCTCCTCCTCCTCCTTCCATTCTTCCTTCTCCATCCTCCGTCCCCCTCCTCCCTCCTCTCTCCTCCCCCTACTCCTCCCCGCTATCACAGCAGACGTGGAGGGCCGCTTCCCAGGGGGGCGGCGGCGGCAGCGAGGCGGCGTCCTCGCCCTCCGCCAGCTTCTCGACCTTCGCGATATCCTCCTCGACTTCCTCGCGGTCGCCAGGTGCGCAACGCTCATCGATCAAATGCCGTCCAGCCCGAAGGTGGCGCCGGCCCGGCGGGCAGGCGTACATGGGTGAGTCAAAACAATATGTTTGACCTGCCGCCGCACTGCTGTTGAATGACACGCTCACGATCCCGAATACAAGGCACTCTGGCCCTCGCCCTGAGCGAGGCCTCGCCGTACGCACGAGCCTCTGGCCTCGGAGCGATGTCCACCGTTGGAGCAAACTGGGCGCGGAGCGTCGCGTGCATCATGCCAATTGGAGCTGCGAGGGAAATACCACTCAGCCTGGCGAATAACCCGACCATATGCAGTTGTGGGTACAGCCGTTGCATGTACCGTATTCAGTCTGGCCCCCTTATGAGGTCGCCAAGCGTGTGAGGGGTGTGCAAAAATAGTCGCGGTGGGCGCATGCGGACGCTGGCATTTGGGCCTTCGGTGGGGTTCCCTATGGGGCAACGAAGCGTGTGAGAGGTGCCAAAATGGGTGCGGTGGGCGCAGTCGAACGCTGGCATTTGGGCCTTCGGTGGGGCTCCCTGTGGGGCCACGAACCATCTGAGGGGCATGCGACAATGGGCGCGGTGGGCGCGTGCGAACGCTGGCATTTGGTCCTTCGGTGGGGCTTCCTGTGGGGCCACGAACCATCTGAGGGGCGTGCAACAATGGGCGCGGTGGGCGCATGCGGACGCTGGCATTTGGGCCTTCGGTGGGGTTCCATATGGGGCTGCGGAGCGTGTGCAGGGTGTGCCAGAATGGGTGCGGTGGGCGCGTGCGAACGCTGGCATTTGGTCCTTCGGTGGCCCCCCCTATGGGGCCGCGAAGCATATGAGGGGTGTGCCACCATGAGCGTGGGGGCGCAGGCGAACGCTGGCATTTGGGCCTTCGGTGGGGTTCCCTATGGGGGCCACGAAGCGTGCAAGGGTTTTGCACAAGTGTGCGCGGTAGGCGCATGCGAACGATGCATTTGGGCCTCCCGTGGGGGCCCCTGTGGGTCTGCGAAGCGTGTGAGGGGTGTATCAATATGGGCGCGGCGGGCGCATGCGAACGCTGACATTTGGGCTTTCGGTGGGGCTCCCTGTGGGTCCATGAAGCGCGTGAAGGGTGTGCCAAAATGGGCGCAGTGGGCGCATGCGGACGCTGGCATTGGTTCCCTATGGGGGCACGATACGCGTGAGGGGTGTGCCAACATGGGTAAGGTGGGCGCTTGCGAACGCTGGCATTTGGGCCTTCGGTGGGGCCCCCCTAAGGGGCTGCGGAGCGTGTGCAGGGTGTGCCAACATGGATGCGGTGGGCGCATGCGGACGCTGGCATTTGGGCCTTCGGTGGGCGCTCCCTATGGGGCCACGAAACGCGTGAGGGGTGGACTAACATGGGTGCGGTGGGCGCATGCGGACGCTGGCATTTGGGCCTTCGGTGGGGCTCCCTATGGCGCTGCGGAGCGTGTGCAGGGTGTGCCAACATGGGCGCGGCGGGCGCGTGCGAACGCTGGCATTTGGTTCTTCGGTGGGGCTTCCTGTGGGGCCACGAGACGTGTGAGGGGCGGGCCAAAATGGGCGCGGGGGCTCATGCGAGCGCTTGCATTCAGGCCTTCGGTGGGGGCTCCCCAATAGGGGCCACGAAGCGTGCAAGGGGTTTGCAAAGGTGGGTGCGGTGGGCGCATGCGAACGCTGGCCTTTGGCCCTTCGGTGGGGCTCCCTATGGAGCCGCTGAGCGTGTGAGGCGTGTGCCAAGATGGGCGCGGCGGGCGCGTGCGAACGCTTGCATTTGGGCCCTCGGTGGGGCTCCTTGTGGGGCCACGAAGCGTGTGAGGGGCGTGCCAGAATGGGTGCGGTGGGCGCATGCGGACGCTGGCGTTTGGGCCTTCTGTGGGGCCCCCTATGGGGCCACGATGCGCGTGAGGGGCGTGCCAGAATGGGTGGGTGGGCGCATGCGAGCGCTGGCATTTGGGCCTTCTCCCTATGGGGCCACGAAATGTGTGAGGGGTGTGCCAACGTGACGGGGGGGCGGGGGGAGGGGGGAGAGAAGGGAGGAGGAAGGAAGGAGGAGGACGCGGGGACCGTCTTTTCTAAACGAGGACCCAACACCACAGGATGGTTGGGAGAAAAACAGCACAACCAACACACCACACCACTGTTTACGTCGCTTCGCGGCAGACACAATCCGCACGCGGGCTCGGGCAAGCCGGGAGGACGACACACCAAAACACACGAACGAACATCACATAGCCGCAACATACACAAATACAGCACGCAGCCGACCAACAACAACACCAACGCAGCGACAACCACACCATAACCAACAGCAGCAACACCAACACCATCAACAACACCAGCAACAGCACCAACAACACCAACAACGACAACAACAGCACCAACCACCCTAGCAACAACGAGAAGTACTACTGCTTCTGCTACTACTACGACTACGACTACGACTACGATTACGACGACGACGACGACGACGACTACCCCTACTACTACTACTACTACTACTACTACTACTACTACTACTACTACTACTACTACTACTACCACTACTACTACTACTCCTACTCCTACTCCTACTACTATTACTACTACTACTACTACTACTACGACGACGACGACGACGACTACTACTACTACTACTATTACTACTACTACTATTGCTATCACTACTACCACTACTACCACTACTACTACTACTACCACCACCACCACCACCACCACCACCACCACCACTACTACTACTACTACTTCTACTACTACTACTACTACTACTACTACTACTACTACTACCTACTACTACTACTACTACTACTACTACTACTACTACTATACTACTACTACTACTACTACTACTACTACTACTACTACTACTACTACTACTACTACTACTACTACTACTACTACTACTACTACTACTACTACTACTACTACTACTACTACTACTACTACTACTACTACTACTACTACTACTACTACTACTACTACTACTACTACTACTACTACTACTACTACTACTATGACTACTACTACGCTATTCTTCAAACCCAGTCTATGTTTTCACTCACTTACATGTACAACAATTCAAACCCAGACTCTGTTTTCACCACCTCTGAGCTCTCCTCCCGTAGAAGCACAGGGCCCCACTGAAAGCCCAGGCTCCTCCCGCCTCCACCACCACCCCGCGCCCGACGGCGCCTTCAGCTGCGCCCCCACGCTCGCCAGCGCCTTCCTGCTCTTGACCAGCCTCAGCACGGTGGCCACGGTCTTCTTCGACCTGGCCTCCTCCTGCGGCGAGGCGGCGAGCTGGGCCACGAGCTCCTGGCCGGGCGGCGCCTCTCGAATCCCGCACTGCGGGATCGGCACGGGTGCGGAGGTCCGGGAATGTTGGGAGGCAACTGCTGGGAGGTCTTCGTCGGAAGGACTAAGGAGGATTAAGCCCCTATCGAGGGGCTATTACGCCAGGGTGGGCCTCGGACTAAGCGGGACTAATCCGGATTAAGGGGGATTGAGCGGGATCGAGCCGGATTAAGCCGGATTCAGCCAGATTAAGGCGGATTTCGTACCAGGGCTAGATCAGAACTTGACCTCCCAGGAGTTGCAAGTTTTTTGAACGCTCTGGGAAGCAGCGTGCTGATTTGAATCAGATTCACTCGGTCTCTGAGGAGCCCCTTCTCACCCCCGCATTTCAATGTTGACTTGCATAATTCTGTCATCTGGGGCGGCGGGTACCTCGCCGACGCCAACACTGACATGTGGGGGGCAGGGGGGTGGCGTCGAGAGCTTGTCGCGGTCCATGTGCAGCCGCATGCGTCCACGAACAACTTGCATTTCTTCGTCCACCCAACGGTGGGAGGGCCCAGGCCTCCGGCGTCACAACAAAAAAATAGTGAAGGCACGTGATCCCACTCCGTGGGTACCCGGAAGGCCCGGCCGGATCGGGGCCCAAAGCCGTGAGCAGCAGCTGCATGGGCAAACCAAGCACGGCCCCCGGGATGGTGTCCCGAGGCCTGCGTGCCCATCACGGAAAAACCTGGGAGGAGGGGAAGAGGAGGGATGCCTGGGAGGAGGAGGATGCCTGGGAGGAGGATGGGTGAAGGATGCCTGGGAGGAGGAGGATGCCTGGGAGGAGGAGGATGCCTGGCGTCGGATGCCTGGGAGGAGGAGAAGAGGAGGGAGGGTGATGGACGAAGGAGCTGCAGGGGGCCCATCATAAGCACCAAGGCCCGATGGGCCTGCCATTCCGGCGAGAGCCCTGCCTTGCATCTTGAGAGGGGCCCAAGGACACACACACACAAGAAGCAAAAAACAGGATTCCCAATATTTTCACATATTTCCTGGGTTTCGTCGTCCCCCCCCTCTCCCTATAGTTTCCAACATTTTCCGGGGGATCGACGATGAATTGCGTCTGTGCTTGATTCCCCCTCCCGAATCTTGCTGGCGCGCAGTCAGGAGCGCAAAGAGGTATCACAATGCAGTTTGACTACGTGTGCAGCGATCGATTTCCCAGATTCGATCAGGACCGCCCCCTACGCGTATATCACTGCTGGCCATGAACTCCGGGGAAAGCGCCAGCGCGAACTCGAGTTTGAAGGGGCACCATCATCAATCCTCTTGCCATTGCTGCAAGCTTGTGTGACAAATCTGCCCGGCGCTTGGGCGAATGCTCCATATTGAAAAGGGACCGCCACCGGCGCGGTGTGGAGGATGGTGGCCAAACATGGGAAACCTCCCTCGGATCAGCCTGGAAAGGACTCACCAGGAACTTCTGGCGCTGCCGGGCACCACCTGGCGACCCCAGCCCGAAGGCCGAAGCTCTTCGCCTGGGCTCGAGGCCCCCGTGCCTGAGGAAGGCGAGGAAAGAAGGCTGGAGCGGCGCGGTGTGGAGGATCTCAGATGGGGGATGGGGGTCGGCGAAACGATACTTCAGATTTCGTTATAAAGGGAGGGGGGTCCCATTTCGGGGGGGGTCTCTTCCAGGCTATCTTGGAGGGCCTGGGGGGGTCTGGGGACGATGTTTTGGAGGGTTCTCCCACGGGGGGGGTCTAAAACTTCTCGTCTGGGAGGGTTGAGACCCCCTCCCTTTTATTGCGAAATCTGGAGGACCGAGGGGAATGGGTCGAGATCTCCGGGGGTCGACGCAATGGAAAACACACGACGTCGGGGGCCTGGGCCCGGCGCCACCGCCCGCGGAGGGGGCCCAGGCCCCCACGGTGCCGATCGCACACCACACCCCGGCGCAACCATACCCGCTGTTGTCGCCGAGCGATGCCGAGGACCCTAATCTCAGGGGGCGGCAAAGAGGGGGGCGTCAAAGAGGGGGGGGGGCGCAAATCATGGCCGGCGGCATGTGCGCGGCACAGGTTTGGGGGCCAGGGACGCATGGAAATAGGAAGAGGCGCCATGCGATCTGGGGAAAGATCATGGCCCACGCCATGATCTCCCCCCCCCAGAGTCATCACCACCCTCTTTGCCGCCCCCGATAATCCGTCGTGCCGGCCCGCGGCGCGGGCGGCCTCGTCGGCCGGGCTCCCCGGCTCGGGGGCCTCCACGCCGAAGTTGAAAGGCGCCTCCCGCGCGCGGCGCGCGGCGCGGCGCGCGCGGGCGCGGCGGCGGCGGGGGCGCCGTGGCGCCTGCGCTGCGGAGGGGGCCCAGGGGGTAGGTCGGGCATGTCCTCCTACAGGCGGACCCTGGAAGTCAGATGCACAATATCCACAACATACACTTAAATCGGCGGGACACTTTCGCCAAATCTTTCAATTTCCGCCAGGACCCCTTCAGTGCAATCACTGATTGGGGAAAGATGCACAAATAGTCCAATGGAAAAATCGTCCCCCGATTATGGTTTCGCTAATTTTTTACTACTTTTGAATGTTTCTCCTGTAAAAGGACATGCCCGACTTAATCCTAGGGCTGGCACCACTCTCGACGAACGCGTGGCCTGAAAACCGTCTCCTCTGAATTGCCCGCGCTCTGCTCAGTTTCCAGACAGCCCTAAGGCAACCACGGATCAGCCCACGCTGCAGCAAAACGCCCCTAAGGCAGCCCACAGAAAGCCCAAAGGAGCTCCAAGACCACCCCCGAGGAAGGCCAACAAAACACATCCAAGATAATCTCAAAGAAGCATCCAACGAGACCCGAGAAATCGACAATCATTGGAAGCAGCATGGCAAACCGTGTCTGTTAATCCTGAGGCCTCGATCGCCTAAGGAACACTCCAGAGAGCTCCAAGCGGCCCCAGGATCGGCCCAGAACTGCCCCAAGAGAGCACACACTGCCGAAGAAACCTCCAAGACGGCCCAAGAGGGCTCCAAAACGTCACCAAGTCCAAGGTAACGAAGTCGACTTAAAACACTCGCGAGGTCAGACCGCGCGCTGAACTGGCGTGTGTCTAAAACTCAAGCTCCTTCACGCAGCGCAGCTGTGCTTGACGTGGCGGCATTTGCCGCTGGTAGCTGGATATCTAGAAACATCCAGCCCCGGTAGATCATCTGCATGTGGGGGAGAGGTGATTTACAACCCACGCACTTGCCCGCAATGAATGAATACGAATAGTGTAACATCAAAACACCCGACAACATTCGCTTGCAATTCAAACATATTTCTGCACCAACGAATGTCCCGCAAGCCAACATCAACCGGGCGACACCAGCAATGGGAATCAAGTCAGGCCACTGGTACCACAAATTTGACCAGAAGAGCTCGTGCCCACGAGGTCCGAACTGAAAGCGATACCAAGAGCAAACCACAAATGTCCGCTGGTCGATCGCATACGCGATGACAGCCACACTGAGCCAGTGGAACTTTCCTCTGTACCTGCCTGTCCCACCTGTTCACTTGCAAGAGATGATGACGCTTCCGGGGCACCGGTCTCCCCCTGTGCCGAGCCACTCTGGGTGGGGGGAGCCTCGGGGACAAGGCTCTACGTCGAGAGCGAGCATGGCAAACGAGGGGTTCGGGGATCTTCTGACCCGGGTTGATCCAGACCCGGGTCAGCAGGAAACCAAAAAACTGCAATGCAGGAACAAAAAAACTGCAACGCAGGTCTTCGCAAACCTAGGTCAACCAAGATGTGCGGCCGCCTCGCGGCTCCCGTCTCAAGGCTCCCGAGGGGTTGGCCAGAGCAAGCTGCCGGTGGCAAATCATGGGAGCCTCCCATGTCATCTCGTTGGCTCTTGCGGATCGCCGCTAAATCGACGCTGGTCGACGCGAATCGATGGTACACCTGTGCGATGCCATTGGTTACCAGATGCTAGTTTAGAATGAAGAAACAACATCATGCACATTCACGTTTGGCGCTCCGCGCGGTGTTCTTGGATCTGCGCTGGACCCCCCAAAGTTTCTGTGTATGGTGCTTGTCCTTCTTCGATAGTTCACGTTAATGCACTCGCAAGATGGAGTTACGAAGTTACGATGCTATCCAAGGCTCCCACGTTTTGCCGCCGAAGCAAATTGCTCGCACTCGAGACTCGAGCCCCACGGTGCAAGCGCGGCACTCCCTGCAGAAGTCGCGAAGACGAGGGGCCACGGGCGCAAGGAGTGGCCCTCGCGAACCTCGAAGAGATCATCCAAACTATGAGGAACTGAGAACGACATGAACATAAAGTTGGAGGCCTGGAAATGGGCACCAACACCAACACGGGGGGTTGCCTCCACAGGGGGGAGATGATCCTAGATTTCGTTGTTGGTGGAAATATTTCGGTCACCTTGGAAGCCAGAGTATTACCACCATCGCCGAGATCGGGATCATCTTCCCTCGGTGGAAGCACACCGCCGATTTTGGTGGTAGTGTCAACCTCTAGGCCTGCGAAGAGAATGGCATGAATACAACAACTCGGAAGGACGCGCAGATTTCTCGCATCCGTGCTGGACCCCCCTGGCAGAGCGCCTCCGCCGCCGACCCCTGGCGCGCTCCGCGCGCCAGAAGAGGGGGGATTCAGCGCCGATCCGAGAAATCCTCGCGGACCTCCGAGTCTTTATGTTGATGTCACTCTTCGTTCCCCTATCCTGAAGGGGCCCTGGGACACACAAACAAATATACACAAATAACAGGATTCCCAATTTTTCAAATACTTTCTAAGGTTTCGTCTCCCCCCCACTTCCAATATTTTCCCCTATTTTCATAGGTGTCGACGATTAATTGTGTCTGTGTTGTTTCCACCTCTGATATCCAACCGTCGGCCAGGGAGACGGTGAATCAACTTCAGGACGGAGGCGTTCACTCCTGGTCAGGGGCAGGTGTTCCGCGAAGTTCACGAGTTTCAAAGGTTCCGCCTCGACAACCCTGATCTTCGCAAACCTTGCAAGGTGGTCCGGGCCGTTTCGCCTTCGACATCCTCGAAACTTTCAGTTCCGAGATGCCGCGTGCGAGGTGGTCTGGCCTATTTCGCTTGTGACATACTCGCAATCCGGGGTTCCGAGAAGCCGCGCGCGAGATGGTCCGGCCCGTTTCGACTGAGACATCCTTGCAACTTGAAGTTCCGAGATGCCGCGCGCGAGGTGGTCCAGCTCGTTCCGCCTGAGACATCCTCGCAACCGCGCTCCGAGCTGCAGCGCGCGAGGTGGTTGAGCGAGTTTAGCTTGAGACATCCTCGAAACTCAGAGTTCCTAGACGTCGCACGCGAGGTGGTCCGGCCCGTCTCGCCTGAGACATCCTCGCAAGTCGGGGCTCCGAACTGCCGCGCGCGAGATGCTCTGGCGCGTTTTGCTTGAGACATCCTTGCAACTCTGCGATCCGAGCTGCCGCGCGAGAGGTGGTCTGGCGTCTTTCGTTTGAGACAGCCTCGCGCCCAGCAGCTCCGAGATGCAGCGCGAGAGATGGTCTAGCTCGTTTCGCCCGAGACATCCTCGCAACTCCGAGGTCTGTGAGAAAATGTGCGCGCAAGGGTGCGTGGCCCGTTTCGCTTTTCATGCATATCCCTGCGATTCGGCGCTCCGGGATGCTGCGGGCGAGGTGGTCTGGCCCGTTGCGCCGGAGACATCCTCGAAGCTCTGGGCTCCGACAGGGAGGAGAAACTAGCGAGGAGGGGTCATACCCAAGCGTTAAGTCGGACGTGCCCCCCTACAGGGATATTTTCGACGACGCATAAAACTGTTCAAAACCTACTCCGAAATGGTAACAACAAATATCCAAAAAATACCCCGACTATTTTTGACTATTTTTGGATATTCCTCCTGTAGAGGGAAGGGCCCGACGTAAGCAAAGCGAACCATTTGATTCCACTTCTGCTGTCGGGCTGTGCTCCGGGAGGGATCCAGGAGCCGCCGGAGGCACCCGCGGAACTCTGAGCTCCCAGATGTCGCACGCGAGGCGGCGAAGCCCGCTTCGCCGGAGACGCCCTCGCAGCTCAGGGTTCCCATCCTCGAAACTAAGGGTTCCGAAAGGCCGGAACCAGACCCAAACAAATCATTTGATCACACATCTGTTGTCGAGTCGTGCTCTGGGAGGGGTCTGTGCGCCGCCTGAGACATCCTAGGATCTCTGCGCTCCCAGGTGTCGCGCCACATGTGGTCCAGCCTGTTTTGCCTGATACGTTATCGGGAGTCGGGGCTCCGAGATGCGGCGCGAGAGGTGGTCTGACGCGTCTCGCCTGAGACATCCTCGCAACTCCTCGCTCCTTGAGGATGTGCGCGGGGTGGTCCAGCTCGTTTCGCCTGAGGCATCCTCGCAACTCTGGACTCTACGAAAATGTGCGCGAGGTGGTCTGGCGCGTTTCGTTTGACATGTCATCGCAGCTGGGCTCCGAGATGCCGCGCCAGAGGTGGGCTGGCCCGCTTCGCTCGAGATGTCCTCGAAACTCTGAGTTCCGACCCAAATGCACGTGCTCCCCAACCCCCGTCGCGGAGAAAGGGGAAGGGAGGGCTGCTCTTTTTCTTGAGCAACGAAGGGCTCCAGGATTTCGGGCCATCGCCCAAACAATCTGATTATATTTTGATATCAACACACAGCTATATATACACAACAGTAAAACTACAAACTCCCCAGCGCCTCTCCTCGGGCGCAGGGAAGCGGCTCGGCCTCCAGCCGAGAAGCATGAGCAGGGCACCAGCTCTGTGGTCCCTTTTCCGCGGGCCTTCCGCGGGCCTTCCCGCGGGCCCTCAGCCCGTGCGCGGGTCCACCCGCCGCGGGCAGTGTCGTGAGCTCAGCCTCGGCCGTCGTAGTGCTTCCTGCGACCATGCGTCTAGCTCTCTGGGTGGATCAACTTCGAGCCATCGGGACGATCACGGCACTCGCTCTTCAACGTCTCAATCCACTCTTGCGCGGCCTCAGGACTACTCAAGTTCTGTAGGTTGATCCTGATCAAGGGCCCGCGCATCGTAGCCGTCACTCTCAGCTGCTCGATCTCCTTGGCCTGGCGATCCGGTAGGACGTTGCCCTTCTTGACCAGCCTCATGATCAGGACGTCTTTGAGACCGCTCACGCGTAGGCCTTTGGCTCTCAAGATCTGCTCCAAGTCGACCACGAGAACCGCGTTGAAAAGTTTGTGCCTTGCTCCTACGTCGTTTCGTGCTGGACGGGGCTCTGTGTCAGCCCGCGTAGTCAGGTAGACGTCGGCGTCTCCAGGAGCGG